GGCCGCTCGGGCTCGGTAGGCGCAGCAGGGGTCTAGCTCCAGCCTCACCTTTTGTGCCTTTTGCGGTTGGCTTACCCGTCTTTCCTATGGCTGGGATATACAGCTCTACTCTGAAGACCCTGGAGGATTTAACTTTGGACTCTGGTTATGGGGCAGGGGATTCCTGCAGGTCCCTTAGTCTCTCTTCTTCCAAGTCCAACTCCCAAGCTTTTACCTCATCTCAGCACAGAGGCAACTGGTGGTACTACTCGGGCTCCATGAACAGTAGGAATAACAGCTGGGATACAGTGAACACTGTTCTGCCGGAAGACCCAGAAGTTGCAGATATATTTTCCAAGTGTCCTAAGCTGCCGGATCTAGAGGAATACCCTTGGACTGATGAAGACATTGGAAAAATACTCAGAAAAGGGCAAGGAGATGGAAATACCAGAACCTTTACTCAGGAAGCTGTCAGGCGGCTCTCTCAGTTACTGAGGCGTGCCTTGATCAGGATCTCCAGGGAAGCTCAGCGTCTCAGCGTGATGCACTCCAAGTGCACCAGGTTTGAGGTGCAGAGCGCTATCAAGCTTATCCAGAGCTGGTCGTTATCAGAAAGCTGTGTCCTGGCGACTGTCAAGGCTCTCTCCCTGTACAGCATGAGTGCTGGAGATGGGCTGAGGAAAGGTAAATCGGCTAGATGTGGCCTCACCTTTTCAGTGGGGAGGTTTTTCAGGTGGATGGTGGACACTAGGATCTCAGTTAGGATTCATGAATATGCAGCCATCTCTTTAACCTCTTGCATGGAAAACCTTGTAGAAGAGATTAAAGCCAGGGTTTTGGCAAGTCAGAGTCCTGATGGTGGCGGAGGGGAGATCTCGGCTGAAATCCTGGAGATGGTTATCAACAATGATGCTGAACTTTGGGGAGTGTTGCAACCTTACGAGCATCTCATTTGTGGGAAAAATGCTAATGGTAAGATCCAGCTTTCATGATTGCTAGTCTTCGTACCAACAAACTTTACAGTAAAATAAGTAATTTCTATGGCTCTGTGCGGGCTTTGGGGGGGGGGGGGACGCGGTTGTTTGTTTGTTTTTTCATCTGAATCGCATCTGGGTAGTGGTTTGTGTTTGTGATACGGTTTTACCAGGCAGGAGTGATGCCACTTTGTTCTTAACATGTACCAGTTCATACAAGGTGCAGAAGTGGTGAGAAACCAAGCCCTGTTGTCTTACCAAACGTCTCTTCCAACTTTCTACCAGCTGCTGTTTTGAGCACTAGTACTATAATTGGCGTGTGTGCATGCTTTTCTGTACCCATAATATGAAACATGTACTAACAAGCTGTTCTCCAGAAAATAGCATTATTCTTTTTAAACAAAACCTACTTTACTCTGCCACCGATATATAGTAAAATATACTGAGAATTTTGCAGAGTTTCGTTTTAACATGCTATTCCCACATCCAGCCTGGAGAGGGAAAGCAATTTTTTTTTTTCCACTGCAGTCATAAAGTTCAATTCCTGAGCAAAAAATAATAACTATATGTTACTTAAACTTCCTTCTAGTTTAGTACAAGGCTGTGCCCTGCTATACTAATGTAATAAACAAGAATTTGTGCCTGGCTTGCCAAGTTGAGCATGTGGGATGGTATCTCAGTAGTGAGAGTAACTTAACATTAAGATACTTAATCCTGGCAGTTGATTAGAAAGCAGACTTTTTAAGCAGTTAAGCAAATAAGCAGATGAAGGAATGTTGGCATCTTTCTGTGAGACTGAGGAGCAATTAAAAAGACTTAAATCTTGACAGTTCTGTTAAGAAGCTGCACTGTTTGGTTTTTTTGTTTTGTTGCACTGAGGACTGCCATAATTTTCCGTGGAAAATTTAGAGAAGCATTTAATTCAGAAAGCTGTTCTGTGTACCACACACAGTTCAGTGACTTTCACTGGCTTCACTGTTGTCGTCAGATGCTCCATGAAGAAAACCTTTCTGATTTAACTGTTTATAAAAGCAAGAGGCTTGGTCTCTCTGAAGTGTAATCTCATAATGAGGGACAAGCGAAGAAGCAGATGTTCTTTGGGGGGAAGAACGATACCTTCAGTGATGTTACCAGTGAAACACTTTGTCAGAGAAAGGCTGACTTTTAATTTATGCTGATAAGCTGCATTACCTTCCTGTTGTTATCCCATCCCCAAGCAATAATGTAGCAATTCAGATCACCAGTGAATAGGTGCAGTAGCTGCTCAACATCGCGTTTTCTCCCTGTTGGGTCAGCCTGGTTCATCCAAACTACTCAAGATGATGGCTTGTATTACCGAGCTCACAAGCCCTCTCTTGTATGTGCTATCTGCACTACGTCTACTGACAATGTTACTAAATGTATGTGAATTAAATGCAAAAGATGGACATTTATGTTTTATACCACTGCCAAAAGCACACCCTAAAAGGCTCTGTTTGACTTTTAAACTTACAGTTGCTTTTTAAACTACAGGCTCTTCCATGCAAGATTGTAAAGGTAGGGGGATGCCTTGCCTTGCCAAAACAGTTGTCATAATCCTTTGCATACCATGGGATTATTTGTAAATGAGTCGAAAAAGAGGACTCAGTTCCATCTTCTGTTCCTTATCTGTGGAAGCTGGAGTAAAATATCATGGTTCTACAAAGAAAAAGATGCACTTCAGCTGTTCATGATCTCCATTTAGTGTTTCTGCCACACGGTTTCTGTGTATAAAGTGGAAAGGAAGAGTTAATCACTCACAGGGTTGACTTTTTTCTTTTTTCTTTTTTTTTTTTCTTCTTATGAGAAATCTCTGTGTTGGAAAAATTGCAATGAATGAATGGAAGCTGGTGTTCAATGGAAGCATAAGTGACTGTGCAGGGAAGCGCTTATAAATATTCAAAACACCAAATGGTCAGTTATGATAACGCTTTTATAGTAGAACACTAAGCAGTGATTGGCCACGGAAGGGTTGGCTTCTGTTGCCTCTTTTGTTGTTCTTGTCTTTCTGATCAATTCTGTCAATAATTGAATGCATATTTTTGAAGTCTGAAAACTGAAAAAAAGTGCACCTAAAGGCATACTGTGATTTACTGTGACAATCTGTCACAAATATTTTAGCTGACACAAGTCAGCTAAATCTTCTAAATGTAATTTCCTGCAGTTATAAGACTACAAATGGTTTTATATTGATATAGAAAGCTTTGAATAATTTCTTTATTTTTTCTCCATTTAGGAATTGCATATTAGTAACAGTCGCATCATTTTCCACAGTGCTTGATTTCAAATGATTGTCTTGTACATTAAGTAAAATCTGAGGTAGATCTAGTGGTAAAATAACTGGATTTGTTCCAGTGGAAGGAACAGCAAAGCTCACTTTACTGTCGTCTTTGTTTCTTTATATAGTAAGAAAATTTTAATGGAGTACTTGTAAATTCCAGACTTGGCATATGTTTGTTGGGTTTTGTTTTATAGTACTGAGTTTGATGCTAGTGATAAAAAGCTCTTGGAGGTTAAGTTCTAACTCCAGTGAAGCATTGCAATCTCTGGATGAAATCCTTGGCAGTATACTATATGCAGAAGATCGCATTGGATTATCATAATGGACCTTTCTGGCATTAAGATCTATTAAATACAGTTTCCTTTATTAGATCGGGATAGTATGCTTCCTTGCAGTTCAGGAAACAGTAAGTAAATGCATAAATCTTTGTAAATTCCCAAGAGACTGAGATCTAGACCCATATTCTTCTGTGACTAATCTCCTATCAAAGAGAGTAGTCTAGTCACAATTCTTAAGGCTTTTAGAAGCTGAAAGCTTATTATTCTTTTCTATGGCAAACGTTCTAATCAGCGCCCGGTGTGTGAGGGTAAGATTTAAAACTCTAAATGCTTAAAGGGGGGTTAGATTCTGTTTTTTAAATAAATAATACTCTGCATTTTGTTTTGTTTTTTTCCCCTTTTTGTCAAGCTGTTCTTTAATCAACCATTTGCTGCTTCTCTAAGACATCTTCTGCTGTTAGTGTGAGTTCTGAGTTTGTGCTTGGGATTTAGTTTGACTATCTTGGAAGAAGGAACGTCATCTGAACTTGTGGCCGAGAGGAGTTCAGTAAAGCTTTCTGGGTGTGTTAATGCCTCTAAGGACTGAGTCTTTTCAGACAGAGTCTAGGTGGAACGGTATAAAAAATAATGCATTGTAAGTTGGAGGGCAACGGAAAATGAAACTTTGTTAAAAGCAGCAAAAATGATAAGTAGCTGCTGATCAGCAGAGCAACTGGAAGGCTTAAAGAAAAGTCATGACTTGGAATACTTGTTTTCATTTTCTATTTTTAATTAGGTGGAGAGGTATGATTTGCTTTGGTTTGATATAGCTGAAGGAGAACACGCATCTAGTAGTGTCATGGGGGTTTTGAGGTTGTTCTGATCTGGAATGTTGCAGTCTATTCATTTAAAATGTTTGGGAGACAAGGAGAAATATAAATTTACCTTGGAAATGTGATTCTTCTGCATGATGTTCCTATATTTGAGTAGCGTGTGGTTCATTAGTGTCTGAATTGTCAACACTTCAAAGATACTTTGGTATTATTACCCTATAAACTACAGCACTTACTGTGTTTTAATCAACTATCTGGTTATTGCTGAAGGATCCTGCACCAGTTACACTATGCTATTTAATGCATCAGCATGTCTTGATGGTCTCTAGATCCAGTTGTTGACAGATGTTGCTGGGGGGGGGGCGGGGGGGGGGGCCTGGAAATTTAAGTCCGGAACACTGTTCGCATACATTTAACCTGAAGCGCTTGAGGTTTTCTGTGGAGAAGCTAATCAAAAAATTAGCCTGTTTATTGCTTATCGGCTGAGCAATCAAAACACTGACTCTGAAGTAAGCTCTACTGGCATCTTGAGATGTTTTTAGAATGGGGTTGAGGAGGAGGAAAACAAGTAACCTTTCCTTACAGAAAGAACTGATTTAGACTTGGTAGAATTATTACAAGGACGAATTTTCTTGTCTGTGATACTAAACACTGAGGCACAGCTGACAAGTGCTAAGCATAGACTTTAGATTTACCACCAATAGCTAATCTCATTTGCTTTTATATTTCTCACCGCACCTGTGTAGGTTAAAAATCATAGCTGACTTTAACTGTGGGTGGGGTTTTTTGTTTTGTTTTAGAGCTATACCACAGTTACTAAAAATTGCTTTTTGCAGTTATCAAACTTGCCTGAAATAACTTCCTTATTTCAGTGTAATCACGGTACGGTACTGAAATTCAACACTGAAAAATAAAGAAATTATTTTATGACATTTCAATAAATAGGAAGTCCTTTTGTTTACTGAACAATCTGGAGTGCTCCAAGAGGTTCATTAATTATAATCTATCAGCTTCACAACTACTCAGAAAAACTACATGTTATTGGAAGGCGGATATTTTGGGGAAGAGAGCTGCGAATGTCATCCATAAGCTAAGCCGAGTGGAAATGCTGCAAAGTTAGTACAGCTGTACCACTGGCAGTGTGCAAATCATTTAGAAAAGTCCAGCTGTGTGTCATATCAGTGTCCAACTGTACACATCTTAAGCAGCAGTTTGGAGCCACTTGGGTTATAGCTGTGTACCACATGGCCAAATCTAATCTCTGCTCTGATCTTCTCTAATATCCGACTGCTTTATTTAGTAGATCTGAGACAGGAATTCAGTCTTACCTACTGGCGGGCTAAACAAGTTTCTGCTGACATAGCGGGAAAACTCTGGAGCTTCCAGTGGGTTGAGCTTCCTGCCCGTGAAACTGAATAAATTTAATCAGACTGGATTGCTATCAGAGCTCGACCTCTAGTTTTGTGGGGCACAGGCCCAGGTGCGTTGCGAGGGAAACGGAGGCCTTTAGCCCTGCCACTAGTACGTAGAGGAAAGCCTCTTTGGGGTTTCTGGACATCTGGCAGCCCAGTCAGCACAGTAGTTCCAGCTAGGTGACTTAAAATCTAGA